ACCGCTCTTTAGTCTCGGCGGCATTTGAAAAGTTTGAAATTACAATAAAACCAACTATGCGATAGGTCCACGCGTTTTATCAGTAATCGAAGACCGACATTTTCGTTGCGGAATAACACACACGTAGCCAGGGCAAATGACAGGACGGAAAAATTGTTCAGTCGCCAGAAAAACTTCGCCAAGGTCTCGGCGGCAAGTCGATCATCATCAGATGTGCCACCGTCATGTCGGCCGTCGTGTATGCAAACCACAGTTTGTGGCGCGGTTTCCGGAGCGAAATTGGTCGCAAAGTCAATATAATTTCAAAAGTCTATGTCATAAATGGAATACGGACACGTGGGATACAGCATCTGGCAGTTTCCACTCGTTTCGTACGCGTGATCGTAAGCGTGATCTTCCGCTCGTTCGAATCTGCCTCCGTCCATAGGTAATCTGCGAAACAGAATTGTTGCTGTAATAATATCTTCTGTGCTTAATCCTTAGTAAGAATAAAGCGTTTGTCAAGTTGCGTTTGTTCCTTAATTAAGGTGGAAGATTCACGCGCTTTAAAACTCTAAGGCTAGTGTTTCGCGAAAAGAGAACAAAAATTTCATATAATTATATAATATAAAAAGAAATTTATTACATAAAAATAATTTATTAAAATAGAATTGCGATTGCACTTACGTGAAAATTGCATGAAGAAGTTCCTGAATGAAGGAGCCTGTACCTACTTGAGAGGGATCTCGTTGGCTCGCTTCGCAGAGTGCTCTCATCACGCAGGATCTGCCGTCGAGGCCGGTGCTGCCGATAAAGTTTAATTTGAAAGCGTTCCTCGGCATAAACTTTGACGACAGCTCGGCTTCCCCCGCGCGAAAACAATTATGCTTGAAATAATTTCGTTTCTAATTACAGCTAAAAATAATTACAATCACAACTATAGCACGCGCCGCGCGAACCGCGTATAATAAAGATTAATATTATCCGAATTATGTCTTCTAATTTTCTTTTTCTTTTTAATAAATTCTCATAAAGTAAGTAAGTTAAAGCCGCGTTTATATAACGATAAATTCATTGCGTTAAATTCGCACTTTTCCGATAAATTTTTTAGAATCGATCTAGTCGTAGCTGTAGACAAGGCACGTATCCACTTCCGGATTTCTGCACGAAACGCGGCAACCCCAGAGGATTTGTCGATGTCTTAAATCGTTTCGGACAAGTATTCTTGACCATAATGTTACTTCTCGTCAGGCCGAATGCATATTGAAAGATTGGCAAAGCCGGTTGAAAAACGCGAAATAACACGACACTCACGATTGTAGAAAAGCCTCCATTTTCGGATATACGACGCTACGGCTTCTACGGTGAAGTAAATTCGATATCTTTGAGTCGACCTTATTCGGAAGTTCCCAGGCTAAGGCAGCTGTCAGTCCCATCACCAAATCACCGTCTCGGCCGTACGCTCCAATAGTCAGACAATACACTAACTGGAAAATACACGGAACATTCACGCGCAAATTTAGTTTTCTACGTAAATTTCGCAGACTGCAGGAGAGCTCGAGAGAGCGGTGAGGTACTTTACTTTTCTACTTTATCCGTGTACCGAAATTTAAGAGAGG